CTGTCTTTCAAAAATGAATAAACATAAAAAAAATTTTTTTAATGATTCTCTCTTCTGTCTCTCTCTGCTTTTCTCCCTTGCTCACGCTCACTCCCTCTTTCTAAAATAAAGAGAAGAAACAACTTCTCATCTACGCACCATGTTTTCTACCTGTCATGTTTTTAGTAGCTTTAAATTGCTCTAATAATTAAATTGCGTTATGTTTGAATGTACAAATCTAGATTACAGTCGTCTTTCCCAGGTGTACATTAAAAAAATTACCTTTTTTCCTCTTGCTTTATGGATGAGTGTGATGCATCCATCTATTAATTGAATATGTGAGGATTAAAATTATGAAATGTTAGCTAAGGTTGGCAGAGCTAAAATTGCTTTGCTTCTTGGGTGAGTGAATTCTAGTCATCAGCTTTATGGTTCAAGCTGTAAAAAGCATAAGATACCTGGAAAGCAAAGAGTGATAGCCTGATAACTCAGGAGGCTCTCGTTGACCACGTACTTACCTAATTGGTGTGAGATTAGAGGTTGGGAGTGGGGAAAGATGGAAATAACATTTGTTATTCTGTTCTGGGTATTAATCCCTGCCTGATACACCATGATACTGTACTATAAAACTATTGGGGGAACCTGGGTGAGTGTGCACAACTTCCCTGTATATATTTTTTCAACTTGTGAATCCATAAGTATTTCAAACTAAAACAAATTGGCTAAGAAACAAAAGTTGTATTGGGACATGGCCACGACCTTTTGCTTGGGGTTGTCTGTGGCTGCTTCAGCACTGCAGTGGCAGAGTGGAGTCCCTGTGACAGTTGCAGCAGAGACCATATGGCCCACAGAGAGAGAGATATTTACTCTCTGGTCACATACAGGAAAAATTTGCCAGCCTCTGGTCTATGCCAGCGAAAGCTGTATCTGAAACTGAGTACCTTGAGTTAATCAACCAGTATTTACTGAGCACTTTCATGCATCAGCCAGGTTGTGGTGGAACCACTCAAATCCACCTACAATGTGGGCAAGAATAGAAGTGTGGCATTATATGTGGCCACATGATGTGTGATGTAATAAAGACTTACGTTGTATCAAATATACATTTAGAGAGTAAGAAGTCATACAGTGTACAAATTTGATGTAAAGCAGTATGTGAAAGGGTACTTACAGAAGAGATCACAGTGGAGGGTTGAGCTGAGACATTAGAAATAGAAGGTAAGGGGACATAGTTGGGGACAGGAAGTGCGGTAGAGGACAAATAATAAGTTGTGAGAATATACAGTTAGAGATGAGCTAGTATGATACCCTTACATCCATTTTTCTTACTTTATATTCATACAGTGGTAATGACAAATAGTAAGAGCTAGTATTTAGCTGCATGTGCCAGTCACTCTTTTATTAATGCTTTAGATCCTTACAACAACCCTATCAGGTAAATATTATCATTATCATTCTCATTGTACAGGTGAAAAACAGGGATAGAGAAGTTGAGTAACTTACTCAAGTTCATACATTTAATGAGAGGCAGAACCAGGGTTCAAGCCTAAGTACTCAAGTCTGCAGGGACTGTACTTTTAACTGCTGTGCCCCTCACTCTGTCCAGATTATGTCGGTCTCTCCCGATCTAGACTGCGATCTCCAGAGGGGCAGTGTTTATTCTGCTCATTCTCTGTGTCCAGGCCTTCACACCCTGCGAAACGAATGAGTTCATTCATGAAAGCTGCCTTCCAAAGACGACTTTTCGCTGATTACAAACAGAGTGTTTAACTTCTTAGGTTAAGTGTCCTACGTGCATTATAAGGCATAGAAGGCCCCCAGATTACTCAAATACAGTCAGCGAGGCTGCTCAGATATTGAAAAGAAAATAACTCAAAGAACTAGCCCTGCATGTGCAATCTCAGTTCGTTCTTCTATAATCTAAAGTGTATGGTGTAAGAAAATGATAACTAGGAAAAAGGGCAGCTTTCTTAAGGTCCTAAGTCATTAAAAAATAATACTGCTAACAATTTACAGGCATGTTCAGAGGTGGAACTTGTAGAAGTCACATTCACCATGTGACAGGTATCGAATCCAGTACATTGCATGGATTCATTTAATCTTCACACAACCCCATGAAGCATACATATTATCATTGTCTTCGTTTTACAGATAAGGTAACCAAAGGTGGAATAACTTTAGCCCAGGATCTCAGAGTTAGCCAAGTAGTGAGAGTCAAGATTTAATTAGGACACCAGCTTCTAGTTTCTAGTGACAGCAGGTTAGGTTATTCGCACCAACTCTTCTGTTGAAAAATGCTAGGTAAAATACTTTAAAAACCATCGCAAATGCTTTGAAGAGCTAAAAAGACAATGGGAATCTCCTAGAACAATTTTTAGGTGGACTCCTGCAACAGAGAGGAAAGCGGAATATCTGGCACACCAAAGCTCATTCTTCCTGACGAAGTAGGTATAGCCATCTGCCTATACCACCGCTATCAATGATGTGGGCGTCCTCCTAACGCAGAAGGTCTCCGTGGAGATCTTCTCCATATCATCTTGGAAGCCTGAAGGGCTCACTCTCAGTGTAAGAGCAAACCAGAGCCAGAGCTGCTCCTCCTCCCCCAGAAGAGAAGGCTTCTCAGAGCCAAGCAGAAAAGCCGGGGGAAAAGGAGAAGGGGGAGAGTTGTGGCCTTAGACTAACTGACACAGATTTGCAGTCTGACTGTTTGTATTCATGACTTGAGTTGGAAAAGGAGCTTCATGCTAAGAACTTGGTTTCAGGTGGGCACATCTTCCTTAAGCCTCAGAGAATCTCTCAAATTTTTTCAAGAGCAAAAACTAGCAAGTAGTGAACAAAAAACCAGGTGCACAAGGAAACAAGGCAATATGAAAAAGAACCAGCAGGAGCAACAGATACAGACTTCAAATCACAAGTTTTAAAAGTGACACGGTAGATTGGATAAAATCTCAAAACTTCTGGATTAAAATTTAAAAACTCACTACTTGCTAGTATATTGGATATAGCAGAAGAGAGAATTTATGAACTGGAAGATAGGACTGAGTTAGAACCGTCCCACTCCAGACTCTTGGGTAACCAATAGGCTGTACTATTCACAGGGATCTTGCCAGCTTAAAAAACAATCCCCCCTGGGGCACCTGGGTGTCTCAGTCGGTTAAGCATCTGACTTTGGCTCAGGTCACGATCTTGCGGTTTACGAGTTTGAGCCACGCATCGGGCTCTGTGCTGACAGCTCAGTGTCTGGAGCCTGATTCAGATTCTGTATCTCTCTCTCTCTCTGTCCCTCCCCTGCTCATGCTCGCTCGCTCTCTCTCTCTCTCTCTCTCTCTGTCTCTCTCTCTCAAAATTAAATAAACATTAAAAAAATTATCTAAAAAATGCCTATTGTTTGTGATATGTATTTCAATTGCTTACTAACCTAAAGTATTTGTGCATACTTTTGTTAATTTACTGAGTGGTGTAATCCTGAGCAGAAATTCTTTATCAGAAGAGATTAGGAATGTACCTTGATATCTTGTTGATTTTGACAAGTAAGTCCTGGGGTATTGTGTAGAGATAGTTCTAGAGTGAGTCACCTAAATATGGGTCCTGGGTAAATAACAAGTCACAGAGGGTGGCTGGCAGGAGTGGAGAGTACAGCTTGGAGCCACTGCCCTTTCAGATCCTGTATAAAATCTGCTTTTTATATCATCACCACTGTTCTCGTTAAGAATAGACCAGGACTTTTCCTCCTACACTTAAACCTCAGTACAGACGTGCCTCAGACAGGGAGTCATGTTTTTCCTATTATTTAGCTCTCCACACTGGTGACAGCTGCCGTGTCAGAAAGTAACCCAGCTTTCCATTTTTAACTGCAAAATGTCCATCACAGATCTTCTGTCAGTAGTGTGGTACCTGGTGGTTGGTTTTGTTTTGTTTTAGAGGGGAGAGAACAGGGCAGACCACCTTGGCTTCAAGTATAAGAACAGATTTGAATCGTGCAGCCTCAGGCCATCAAGTCCTGGCTCCATAAATTCAAAATGTATTGGGGCTTATCTTGTGCTGTTGCTGTGTCAGTTTCAGGGGCCTGGGCGCATTTCCCAGTCCGTATCTACTGTACCAGCTCTTCAGGTAGACCCGTAGAGCTGGCTCCCGACTCTCACTAAGCATTCATGCTTGAGCACAGCACCACAACAGTGATCTTGCTTTGTTAGCTTATTGCGAGAACTCCTTAAGGAGCTCTCCTATTGGCCACCTGATATCTGTGACCATTATCACTTCCTCTCTTTTTCTTTTTTATTTAATTTTTTTGTATGCTTTATTTTCAGCTTCCTGTTTGCATTTGTTTTGAAGGTGCAATGGGCAGGGGCACCAGGGTGGCTCAGTCGGTTAAGCATCTGGCTCTTGGTTTCTGCTCAGGTCACGATCTCACGGTTTGTGAGTTTCTGTGTCTGGCTCTGTGCTGGCAGTATGGAGCCTGCTTGGGATTCTGTCTTCCTCTCCGCCCTCCCCCACATGCTCTCTGTCTCTCTCTCAAATAAATAAAAATAAGCTTAAAAAAAAAAGTTAAGTGGGCAAATGTTACGAATGTATTTAATCTTATCGTTGGTCCTGTCAAAATATTTTGTATGTGGGCGCGACTTTTGTTTGCTTATTCTGTACGCTGAATGAAGTGCTATATTTTGATAACTGTCAGCTAGTGGGATGAAGAAAAGGAGAAAGTAAGGAGAGAAGACACAGACAGGAAGGCAACATTTGGTTATTTCTTTAAGAGTTCTAGGGGCAGCTGAGTGGCTCAGTCGATTGAACGTCCAACTTTGACTCGGGTCATGATCTCACGGCTCCTGAGTTCAAGCCCCACGTCAAACTCTGTGCTGACAACTCAGAGCCTGGAGCCTGCTTCAGCTTCTGTGTGTGTCTCTCTCTGCTCCTCCCCCACTCACACTCTCTCTCTCTCTCTCTCTGTCTCAAAAATAAATAAACATTAAAAAGTTTTGTTTTGTTTTGTTTTGTTTTGTTTTTATAAAATAAAGAGTTCTAGAGGATTTTAGGATTTTCATGTTTGCTGGATGTTTCTTCATGGGCATGAATAGCAGTAATATTGGGGAAGTTATATTAGTAGAACACTTCAGGGGACTTAATAATTGGCACATGCTTAAAACCAAATGTGCACTAAACATGTATTACATTCCTTCAAGGCAGCATACCTTGACCACGCACTGGCTACGTGGCAGCCGTGGTACTAGGTATGAGATGAGTAAGACACTCTCTTGGCCTCTTGGGAGAAACAGGCTAGTAATCGGATGATTATAACACCGTGCAATCAATTAATATTAAAAATACAAACAACATTTTCATGAAGGACAGAGGCAAGAATTTGTAATTCTTCCTGATAAGTACGGGAATGTGTCACCAAAGAAAGGTGGCCCATGACAGGGGTCTATAAAAGAAATGTTCATGAAGCAGAGAAGAGGAAGATGGGTCATTGCCTCTGCAGGGAACATAGAAATGTTTAGTGACTGAAGCTGAGTATACACCAAGGAATCATCCAGATAAATTATTTTTTAGAAGGTAGATCCCCTGAACCACTTCCAGAGATTCTGATTCAGGAGGTTCATCTACAATATGCACCTCAGGCAGTCACTTCTCTGATGGCTCGTCTGAAGACCATATTTTGAGAAATACTGATCAGATCAAGATTAGTGTGTGGCTCTTCTGACTCCTGGTTCTGGGGGCAGTGTGACACAGTAGAAAGAACCCTGATTTTGCAGTCAGGCATACCAGGATTTGAATCCTGGCTGTGTTCCTAAACAATACACCTGATGTTGGTCCACAGCTCTAGACTTCAGCAAGCCACTTAATTTTACTAAGCCTCAGTTTTTACATCTGTGAAATGAGGGCAGTAATAATCTTTGCAAGATTGTTAAAAAACGTAGAGAATGCAAAGTAGCCCAGTGTCTGCAATATACTAGCTGGTCATCAAATGATAGCTATTACTGTCCGTATGTAGTGAGTGCAAACTAAACGTCTCTGTACCTCCTTCTCCTCATCTGTTAAAAGAGGATGATAACGGTACCAATCTAATATGGGTCCTTAGGAATCCGAAATGAGACATACATTAGCACACAATGCCAGGCATATGGAAATTCTTCAATAAATGCATGCGGTAGTGTTGATGATGATGATGATAGTGATGGTAATTCCTGTAACTAACTGGCTGCTTTCATCCTAGTCCCTATTGAACTAGCTGGAACTGGATAATGGGTTCATTCATGTCTGAACAAGGAACTTCAGAAATGATGGTGTGGGGGATTTGAATGTGAAAGTTAAAGTACTGGGGGATTGGGATGACCGCATGCGTCTATTATCAGCTGGGAGAAATGGTCACATGACACGTGGCCCTTGGGAAGAATGGTTCTTGGTAGGAAAGGGGTTTTACAGATTAAAGAAATAAATAAAAGAAGGGAAATAAGACAATCCACCTGCTACCTCAGGATAGGGCTTTATGTAATTTTATGGCAAGTGGTCCCAGGAGAAGGCAGTTAAGTATATTGAGGTAGCCTGATGGGTATGAGTAGAAAGTAGGTCGCGAAGTTCTGGGTCCCAGCTAAGCCAACTCCTTGAGATGTAGGACTGTGCCAACTCACCTGAAAGCACCTTGCTCACATCTTTTACCCCCCTGGTGTATCCCCTGCTGATGGCTGGTGGGTGCTCACCTCCTCCATCTGCAGTGGACCAGGCTGAGTGTGGCCCCAGGTACTCTTCAGGGCTCCCGTGAAAGCTCCTGAAGGCTGATGCCATTGGTGACCATCAAGACCCCCGGGGATGGTACAAACAACAGACTGGTGCCCTGAGGGCCGGGAGGTGTGGGTTATGATCCTAGCCCTGCCACGACCAGCTCTGTGACCTTGACTGACCATTCTACCTCCATGAGACTTCTGTTTGTGTGTTCCTGTGTTCATTCAAAAGATTTCTGTGAAGTACCTTACTGAATGCTAGATCCTAGAAGGATAGAAGACCAGGCAGCACCCACTTCACTATGAAACTACTCCTTTTGAAGTATAGAGAGTACATGTAGTGGCTTTCTGGACCAGGTATTTGCTACACGTCTTAAATGGAGGACGAGTTGTCCCAAATGGACCTTTCAAACTGTTCCTTGGTTCATATCAAAAGAAACCCAGATAATTGGAATGAAATTGCTGAACAGCAGGTGAATCTGGGTAAAAGGAAATATGGATTTTTTTATCAGTCGTAGTTTTTCTTTTTTTTTTTTTATTTTTTTTTTATTTTTTTTTTTCGACGTTTATTTATTTTTGGGACAGAGAGAGACAGAGCATGAACGGGGAAGGGGCAGAGAGAGAGGGAGACACAGAATCGGAAACAGGCTCCAGGCTCTGAGCCATCAGCCCAGAGCCCGACGCGGGGCTCGAACTCACGGACCACGAGATCGTGACCTGGCTGAAGTCGGACGCTTAACCGACTGCGCCACCCAGGCGCCCCAGTCGTAGTTTTTCAACTTTCTTGTAAGTTTGAAATTATTTCCAAGTAAGAAGTTAAAAAAATAAAAATAAAAATATCCCTAGTGATACAGACCCATCTCTCAAAGTGCAAATAAGTGATAACATTATATAATATTATGTAGTTTTTCACTTCACAGCTGAGACCACTGAATTTGGAGGGAGAGGACCCTGGGTTCAGATCTCAGCTCATTTACTAGCTGAGGACTTTGCCTAAATGATTTCACCAATATGAGCCTTAATTTTCTTCATCTCTAAAATAGAGGTAATAAAGTTTTCTTCACAGGGACTTTGTGAGGATTCAGTGAAATTCTGTATTACCTATGTAATTTCTATATGTTACCTATCTAGTATGCATATACATATATACACACATATACAACATCAGATTGTTTTGCTCTTCATAAAGTGTCATGAAATGTTGATGGCACCCTGCCTTAGCCAAACCCATATTAGTGTTTCAAACCTGGACTAGCTTCCATCAACTCACAAGCTCCCTTCTGTTATCTTACAGCCTGAAAGAATTTCCGGGGAGCAGTATGGAATCCATTCTGATGTCTGGAGTTTAGGAATCTCTTTCATGGAGGTATGTTGTTTGCAAATAGATGCTTCTGTGTGTAACTGTCCTAATATTTTCTATCAAGAAGAATGAAGATTTTGAAAAAACTAAAAATAAACTTCTGTGTACACAGAAATGTGTACGATTTCTATTAGTTATGTGTATGTACACATAGAGTTTAACTCTAAAGTCCTCATTTTGATATCCTTGAATGGCTTGTGAATGGATTATTCGGAGGTGCTGTTTCTCACACATCACCTGTACAAAACTTACCTGGACAGCTTCTTAAAAATACAGGTTCCCAGACTCCCATCTAAGACTAATTAAATCCAAATCTTTAAGAATCTGTATTATTAACATGTTCCCTGGTGATCCTTATGCACACTAGAGCCTGCATTATAATAAAAGATTCCAGAGTTCTGGGTAATGGTACCCTTGTTGGAATGCATATGTAACTTCCAACGGTGATTACTTTAAAGAGTGCAGTCCTACTCATTTGGATGTATAACTTCTATATGTTTGTTTAGAAAGAAAAAAAGTCACATCGCTCCAATATAGTCATTTCACATGTTGGGGGATGGGGCATGATACGATCTGGGGGAGGAGAGGGGTATGTATTTAGCACAATTTTAATGTCTTTACTCTTTATAGCTGTATTTAGAATGGACTTTATCTTAGTGTGCTACATGTAACCCCACAAGAACTCTGCGCTAAGGTTTCTTATAATGACAATTGATTTATAAGGAAGTATGTACAATTTCTATTAGAAAGACATCTGGCTCAATTTGAATTGCACTAGGATAGAATCTGGATCCTCTCCAGTACTTCAAGAATTGTTTCTCACCTACATTGATTCAGAGGAAGGAGGATTTTTTTTAAAAAGTAGAAAGGACTATCCTTAAATAAGATCATGGATAGAGTTGCAGTCACATTTTTATCACCTTTTTTGGGGTCAAATACATACTTTTTTCTATGATTTTTGTAATACATGAATGCAATTGAATTTATAAGGAAGTATCTTTAGACTCAATTCACCTGCACTATAGAAAGAAAAGAAAAATAATCGGTGTTTGTTAAACTATATTCTTCTGCTTCTTCACAAAAGAGAATCTAAGAGGAAATACAGTATGTATGCATCAGCTGAGCAGTTAGCAATAATGGCGGACAGAAGCCCAGAACCGAGTTTCCCAGCAGAAGCCTGAAGGGCTTGTTCAGTTAACCTGTTTTGAGAGAAACTTGTACTTTTGATTTGTGGAGCTCAGGCCTTACTGTTAATATAAATTCCCTTTGCATGTTTAAATTTTTTTTTTAAAGTTTATTTTTGAGAGAGATAGAATGTGTCGGGGGGAGGGGCAGAGAGAGGGAGAGACAGAGAATCTGAAGCAGGCTCCAGGCTCTGAGCTGTCAGCACAGAGCCTGACAAGGGGCTGGAACTCACAGACCGTGAGACTGAGCTGAAGTTGGACACTTAACCAACTGAGCTACTCAGGCGCCCCATGCCTTTGCATGTTTAAACCATTGCCATCAAATGCGTTTAACAAACAACCAGATAGAGTGTAGAACACTGGAGAAGTACGTGGTGTGCAGATAAGAACCTAGATTGGGAATGAAAGAGAGAGCAGTTTCACCTTTGCTGCTGGTTTCTAGGTGTCCTGTGCAAGCCACTATCCCTCCCCAGGCTTCTGTCTCTTCATCTGTAAAATAATGCTCTCGCAGCCCCTTTCCGGACTAACATTCTATGACTCTAAGTGGTCTGTTGTCTTTCTTTAACTTTCTGCATCAACTCTAGAGCTGAGTGACTTGGATGGTGATACACCCGAGCATGATATAACGTGCAGAGACACATAGTACCATGAGAGAACATAGCTAATAGATTTAAGATTTAGAACACGTATATTCGCTGTTCTTTCCTTCCACATTTATTTTTTCATTTATATATTGAGCTCTTGCTATGCCTGTTAGATAGGCAATGGGGATATGGTAATGAAAGGACACTCTAGTATTGACTCTCATGGAGTACGGCATGAGGAGGACAGAAAACAGGATAATGAACTATATAAATTGTCAGGTGGTGGCAAGTCCTATGGAGAAAAATAAAGTGGAGCAAGCCTTTCTGATAAAGTACCTTTGAGCAGAGACTTGGATGATGTAAATGGAGGGAGCCACCAGGCAACAGCAAATACAGGGGCACTAAGCTGGAGTGTGTTTGGCATGTTCAAGGGAAGCAGAGGGACCAAGGTGACTGTAGTGGAGTTATCAAGGGAAAAATGGGAAAAAATACATTCAGAGAGGTAGCCAAGGGTTAGATCATATATTGCCTTGTAGGCCATGGTAAGAACTTTAGATTTTCCTCTGAGAGTAAATGACTGAATTATATTTGCAAAAGATTATTGGGTGTTCTGTGGAGCACGGACTGTAGAGGGACACGCATGGAAACACGGAGATAAGATAGGTAGCTAGGCAGATAGATTGATAGATAGATGCCCAATACATAGAACATATTTATGTTGCATATTGAAACATATCTCTGCCAATATTCTGCTAGGTGCTAGGGATGCAAAGATTTAAAAAGAGGGTCTTTATAGTATAAGGAGGGAATTTGCCATTGTTGTATTTGGTGTTTTGTCAATCATGTTCATTTATCCTGGAGGTAGACTGTTGAATGGTCTCCAGATGACTGAAGGAAACAGACTCATTGAATTTATAAGATTGAGGAGGATTAAGGTATAGGGATTGTGTAACAAATTGTCACATTGAGTGTGGGACACCTGAATGCCAGAAGGAATATGTTGGCTCAAAGTGGGGAGGAGCGGAGGACAGGAAGGGTTAGGCGTCCTAATGCTCCCAGTGTTTTCAAATGGTTGGTGAAGAGCCAGATGTTAAATCAGAAGGAGGAGGTAATGTAGGTACAGGATGTCAAGTGCAGTGGGATTATGATCATCGAGAGAGGTTGTTGAACACCTCTTTGTGTTTGATGCTTAACCAAATGCTTTCAGAGGGAACTATGTAATTGTAGCCCTTCTAGGAGCCCACAACCTCCCAGACAAGCAAGTGACAGCATGTGACTGACCACAAGTGATAGACCAGTAAGTCATTAGAGAGTAGAGTAAGGCCCCTGGTGTGTGTCTTATACCAAATTCATCTGGGATACAAGGTAACACAAAGTAAGTGATAGGGAAGGGGAGTCGGAGGTTTTGAGCCCGTAGATGAGAAATTGTGAATTATTCAGTGATGAAGAGAACCCCAAGCTTCTTTTTTTCCTTAAGGGCAGATGTGATGAGACTATTAGCTGAAAAGATGTGGAGGTTAGTCCACAAGAAGCACTTGAAGTAAAGCACGAAGTAAAGATTCTTTATTTTCACCCACAGTCTGCTTGGGATAAATGTGGCAAATCCTGTTTAAAGTCATAGAGAGAAGTGTGAATCTCCATGCATTTTAAAATTCTGAATAACAAATTAGAGTCACCATCTTCAAAGAATTGCTTCTCTTCTGTTTATCCTCACTTTTAAAAACAAGACTTCCTTTCTAGGGGTGTGCTGTGAAGAGTAAAAACTTCCATTCATTCAATACTGACTATCTAAGCACTTATCATGTGCCAGGCCATAGAGACTGGGTCACACAAAACTTCTGATAGAGAAGACCAACCACTAAAGCCCGAAACAAAACAAAACAGTGTGCTAGCACCTTCAGTAAAGGTGCTTCCAAGATACTCTGAGCCCCAAGCCTGGGGGAGAGACGGGGTTTCTCCAAAGGAGTTACAGTTGAGCTGGATTGGTCTTTTTTTTTTTCTTTAATGTTTATTTATTTTTGAGAGAGAGAGAGAGAGAAATGAATGAACGGGGAAGGGGCAGAGAGAGAGGGAGACACAGAATCCAAAGCAGGCTCCAGGCTCTTAGCTGTCAGCACAGAGCCTGACGCAGGGCTCGAACTCACAAACCATGAGATAATGACCTGGGCCAAAGTCAGATGCTTAATAAGATGCTTAACCAACGGAATTGGTCTCGAAGAGAGTTTGCCCCTGGGAGAAAGAAGGAAAAGAGGGAAGAGCCTCTCCCCATGGCCCTGCACATCCTAAGGTGGATCTCTGTGAGCCCCTCAGGAGAGGTCTAGTGTCAGAACATGCAAGGTCTCATCTAAGCTGTTCTACTACCTATTTGTGTGGACACCTTCCTCAAAGTGTTTTGAGTCATTTTATTCCCCTAGAGTACTGGTGGTAAAGAAACATGGGATCAAAATACAGGAAACTGAGCAAGGGAATTGTTCTGAGATCACACAAGAATCAAATAGAGACTACGTGGAAACTAGAGTTTTCTATCCCTTCTACCTCTACTAGTACACCCCTCCCCCAGACTCCATAAAGTCCCAACCCCTCCCTGAGGTTTGGTGAGGCAGGAATCAGAAGGCCCCTTCATCGTTTTAAACTCCTAAAATAGCGAGGCTCACCTTTGCTTGCCGTCTCCATGCTGCCCTTCCCTTGTTAATGTGCTGTCATACTCCCCATGGGGGTCATAACAAGGCCTCTCGCACACTTGTTCATAAAAGATGATGCTACATGCCACTAAAATGTGCCATTAAAAAAGTCACAGACAGGTACATTTGTGCCTTAAGCAAAGAATCTTTAATATCAGACTATCTTTTATCCAGGGACAGAACTGCCCCATCTCCTCTCAGTTCAGTATCCCTGTGGGATAAAATGGGTCTCTTCCAGGATTCTGTCAGCTGTATGTAGTATTTGGAGTTGGCAGAAGCAAAATAAACATGGAGATTACCCTTAAGAGGGGAAAAAAGGAGATTATTCAGCTTCACTAGAGCATGGCATTGTCACTAGATGAGAAGAATTTGGCCCCTTTCTCTATGTTTTGCTTATGGTTTTCAACTCAGATCTCTGAATGTGTTGTAGTTCTCCTCATGTGGATTAGTTATGAAGCCAAATAAAGGTCACTGCCATATGAGGGGTTTGTATGGGCTGACTTTGTCGTGGGAGAAAGAATCCATGTAGAATTGCACTTCTTCCTTGTACCTTCATG